AAAAAAAAACTTCTCTAGCTTTATAACCCGGGAGATTTATGTAAGAAAACGAAGGAAAAGAAAGAAAAATGAAGATTTTGAAGAAAGCTTCATGGCATCCTTGTTAGTTTTCCATCAATTTCAGTTTGACAACGCTTCGAACCAAAGTGATTTACTTGTTTTCTCTCATCAACTACCGCAATATATCAAAAACGACGTCAATTTGTGTGAAGTGCCTGATTAAAATTACAATCACTTTCTCCCAACCGTGGACAGCCGGCTATGGCTTAGGAAGCGCAGCATTGAGGTAGTGGCGCATAATATCACCAGTTCCTCTGCGTTATGTAGTCAACTCGCTCAGGAATTCCTTTTCATAGAAGTAATCTACTTTTTCATAAGATTTCGAATTTTTGTACTACACAGACTCTGATTCAGGCTTGCTGTCAATTTCCTTGCCTTTCTGCCACTTGTCGCTAGTTGCATAATAGATCTGAGATTTACATCGAGGTGAGCAACCGATAAACAGCAAAAAGTATCTTCCAAGAAGGATCGTATTGGTTCAAATGCGACAACAAAAACTGTCCGCTAGTTGTAATTACAACCGCTATATAGGCAAAAAAGGCAACCAATGGCGTAGTACGGTCTGACCCCAATTATCAAGACGAAACAAAATCAGTAATCTAAACTGTGATGATGCACTACGAAAACTGAAACAATAGTGAAGAAAACAGAGACTGGGGAGTGATAAAATGGGGTTGTTAATATTCTGAAGGAAAAGGGATTTGCAAAGAGCTTGTCTGCTTAGACTCGAATGGGTGCAATTCGAAAAGAATATGACGGAATGAATAGGAACGGGAAGGAAGAATCATTTTGTGCCACAAGCGAAGTGGGAGAGGGCAGGAGGAGGGAGGCGAGGGGAGCTTCATTATGCATATAAAAGATCTAACTCTGTGCACAATATCAAATTGTTTCGTACTTACGTTCGCTTCTGTCCCAGATGACCAATCAAATCGTGAATTCTCTCGATAACCCGACGCACTTCACCCTTTTTCACAACGACCTTTGGCTGATCGTTTACACTACTGGATGGATTGTAATATAGTAATGTCTCATTGTCGTCGGCCAGAACAAAGCGAAGACATCTTGCTCTGTCAAACGCGTAATAAACAGATCAGATTACAAATGGGTTTGGATGACTTACCTCCAGTGACTAAGAGCGCTGCGATCGTGTCGAGCGTCAACAATGGGAGGATAGGTGCCACTTCTACATAAAAGCTTGGCAATAAACCTTTTCTTTGGTGTAGACGTGAAGCACACTACATACCTTTTAAATTCAACGATATTTTCGTATAAGTCAAGTGGCATCCCGCCATATGGATCATCGCCTGTTCTCTCGTCTTCACCGTCATCTCCATACGCATCTTGCAGGGTTTGTTCAACGGACTCATCAAATTCTCCAACATCCTCAAGCAGCTCCTATAAAACATCAGCCACCTTGTATGCACATAGGGGTAAAGTGGCGCAACTGCCAGCTGCCAGCCCAGAATCGCGTCCTCTGTAACTGGTAGTTTCTATTATCAGAACTGCGTAGTCAATTCTGAGGTGGAAGTTGTGAAATTCACTTATTTCAAAATAAAAACCAGACACAAATGACTGGTTATAAGCCTGCAAGACAGCAACTTTTGGAAAGGCTTAAAAGAGTTTCAGAAGGTAACTGAAACAAAATTGACACAGCCACCTCATCTACTTCCCATACAATAACATCAAAATAACATTCATATTCTCATCTTTGCCTCAAGAGGTGTGGAAGCCTTATTGCTTTAAAAAACTGAAGACGAACTGATAGCTTTTCTATAGTTCCTCATCAACAAGCAGCCAGAATGTTAATATTTGATTCGTGATATTAAAGAGCTTGCGCGCAAGAGAGGATGCGCCGTGATCTCTGTGTTATGAACACGGGGAATAAAGATCAGCTTCTGCTACATTGTACGAGGGTATATGCAAATTTTCTAAGTTTTTTCTGTATTTTCTTCTCTTCCAAGCATAGATTCGATACTCCAGAGACTAACAGAAGTGATAGTGATTTTAACTAAGATTGCAAAAAGTGACTGGTTTTTGACATACTATGGTAGCTGAAGAAAAAATAAGAGAATTTTCTTGATTTAAAACAACAATCAGTGAGATACCGCTTTTTTTCCTCAAACACTTCCTTCAAAAATTCCCCATTCATTTTCTTCGTTTCCTTTCCTTTTCGTGCATATAACTCCAACAAATTAAGGAGCTAAAGTCGTCTTTTATAAAGCAA